CTAAATGCCCCGCCGAAGCATACCTAGAAACTAAAAGTGTTCTTGGAAGCTAACCCTATTTTGGATGGTTCAAGACATGTATAAATTTTGAAAAGTTTACCAACTTACATTGAATGAAATACAATGGAAGTGGCAAGCTTGCTGAATAGGGAAGACCCAGATTTTCGAAATTTGCTTGATCATTGAGGAAATTAAAACACTCATGCAACAAATTAGAGTTATTCCTATCGGGAAAATCATACAAATAAAGTAGCTTATTAAATGGTGAGAGAGCGATTTATTGGGATTGGTGGACCAAAATGATGTCGAAACGAGCTAGAGATGAGTTGGGATCAAGCTGGGACACGTTGGGATTGGAGCGGGATGAAAAACAGGGGAAGCGGATGCTGTCGGCCAAAGGGGCCAAGAGTGCAGCGCCACGGCGCTGCTTCAGAGTGACGCTGTTCTATTGTTCGTGCACAGATGGAAGAAGGGTTTTAGCAGTCGATTTTCAGACAACTTTGGCAGCTAATCAGTGGCAATGGCTCGGGTATTGGCAGAGGCATTGGGGCTTATCAAGATCAACATATTAGGGGTAATTAGATCTTGATTCTTGTGAGTTTTTCATTCATGTACCTAAATATTAATTGTGTTAAAATACTTAGAAGCTATGAGGCTTTTATTGGAACCTATAGAGGATATTTCTGGGGAGAGTTATTGTAACCAATCCTTAACATTATTAGTGAATTACCTACATCTGAGTGGAAGATTAGACTTAGCCCTTTGTGGTGAACCAGTATAATTTGTTGTGTCGTTTTTCTTGTGCTTTACAGTTTTCTCCATTATTTGCATATTGTGGTTGTGTTTGGATATTTTTTTTGTGAAGAGGAAATTATATAGGACTATTAATTTTCCAATAAGTGGTATCAGAGCTATAGGGTTGCAGATCATGAGAGACAAATATCACGCACACCATTACTATGAAGGGGTTTTGAACTTCACTGGGGAGAATTTTAGTTTTTGGAAGATGTAGGTAAAGGATCTTCTTATGTGTAAGAAGATACACAAGACTTTCGGGGAGAAACCAACGGGGCCGACTGACACGGATTGAAATGAGATGGATGAGCAAGCCGTTGCAAACAGAAGGTCTTTGTCGATGGGTGTATACAGTCTCGTGGCGAAAGAGACAACTGCAAAAGAATTGTTACAGACCTTGCAAAACAGGTATGAAAAACCTTCTACCAACATTAAAACACTTTGATGGACGAATTATTTCAACATCCACATAGAGGAGGGAACCTCGGTAAATTCCCACATTAATGAGCTCGCCGACATATTGAACAAACTAGAAGGGATGGGCATCAAGATTCGTGAGGAGGTGAAGGTTGTGAGACTGTTGACATCTTTGCCTGACATTTGAGAGACGATGAAAATCGCGATGTCGAATTCGTTGGGGGACAATAGCTTGAAATTTTAGCTATTTATGATGCTGCCTTATCTGAGGAAGCCCGGAGGAAATTAAGGAAAATGTTTACATCTACTTCAGGGGCAAAAAGTAAGGTTGAATTAGCTTTGGTAGTTCAGAACAAGGGGAAGGCCAAGATGAATTACATAGGGAAGCAACAACATAGAAACAACAAGAGTAGTGTGAGTTCCAGTGGGGAAGTGGATTGTTATTATTGCCACAAGAAGGGACACATTAAATACTTTTGGAGGAAGTTCAAAGAAGATTTTGAGAAGGAAAACAATACTGCAAATGTTGTAACAGTAGAAGAATGGGTTGAAGAGTTTCTGGCTTGTGTTGAGAAGAACACATCTATAGACCATTGGGTAGTAGACACTACAGCATCAGTGCATGTTGCTTCAGACAAGCGTTGGTTCTCATCTCTTACTATAGGTGATTATGGCTCAATGAGGATGGGGAATGAGAGTATCTCCAAGGTAAGACGAATTGGAGATGTTTGTTTGAAGATAAGTCACGATACCAAGTTGGTGTTGCGAGACGTCAAGTATATTCCTAACTTCAGATTGAATTTGTTATCCGCATGGAAGCTAGACGACGATGGCTATAGTAGTGAATTTTTTGGGGGTTGCTAGAAGCTCAAGAGGGAATCCAGGGTGGTGGCACATGCCACAAGAGATCTTCTATTTATGTGTTAGAGTTTGAGGTTGCTAAGGGATCTGAGAGACAAAGGATCCACAGGGCTGCAGATGGTTCAGGGCGAGACTTGAAAGAATCAATAACATTGACAACCATGACAGATCAGAAGAGTTTGTCATCAGTTCAAGTACAACAGTTGGGAAGTAGAGGAAAAGTAAAGAGAAAAACTCAACGAGGTGTTCAACAGGTTGTCGGTTTCAAGCTCCAATTTTCAAATGGATTAGCGAGTTGATGAAGTCGTATAAGTGAGAGAGTTCATCGAGGGAGAAGACTACAGTTGGTACTGAAGTCAAAGGTGATGTCTCTAGAAGGGTAATAGACTTGAGTGGGAGTGTGAAGTCATCAGGAAAATCTTCCTTCAAAGGTCGTTGGGTTTGATGGAGAAAGGAAGCAACAGAGACCACTTTGATCGAGTGGGAGCACGTGGCTGTATCTTTAGAGTTTGGGAGACAAGACCATGTACGATTGCTTAGTCTCGGAGTAATCACAGACAAAGCTTGGGGAGGGCAGAGCAATGTGTATCAGTTTATTGACAGAGCAGTCAGAACTCTACCTTGACAAAGAGTGTCAAGATGATGGGTCACTGTTGATGCAGTGGGAGCTTGTGTCTATGTGGGAGATTTTTGGGATTGATGGAGCCAAAATGACGTTAGAACGAGCTAGGGATGAGTCGGGATCAAGCTGGGACGTGTTGGAATCGAAGCTGGAATGAAAAATAGGGGAAGCGGACGGTGCAAGTTAAGGGGGTCGAGAGTGCAGCGCCACTACGCTGTCCTGTTGTGCGTGCACGAACGAAAGTTCGTCCATAGCGCTAGACGCTATGTCGATGCCTATATATTCGCAATTTTCGGGTTTTAAGGTTTCTCAAGCTGAAAAAAAGGGTTTTAGCAGCTGATTTTTAGAGTGTTTCGGTAATTAATCAGTGGCAGCGGATCGGGTATTGGCAAAGGCATTGTGGCTGATTAAGATCAACATATTCGGGATAATCAGATCTTGATTCTTGTGAGTTTTTCATTCCTGTACCTAAGTATTAATTATGTTAAAATACTTAGAAGCTATGGTGCTTTTATTGGGACCTCTAGGGAATATTTCTGAGGAGAGTTATTGTAACCAATCCTTAACATTCTTAGTAAATTATCCACATCTTAGTGGAAGACTGAACGTAGCCCTTAGTGGTGAACCAGTATAATTTGTTGTGCTGTTTTTCTTGTGCTTTACATCCTTCCTTATTTGCATATTCGGGTTGTATTTGAATATCTTCTGTGGAAGGGGAAATTATACAGGACCGTTAGTTTTCCAACATGATTGATTTTGCAGAAAATTTGGTGTGGAGCAGTGTTGTTCTCTTTGGCTGGTGCCATCGGCAATGCTGATTTTGACTCTATTTTTCTTTAATAAAGTGAAGTTCAGTTCCTAATTAAAAAAAAATCTTAATTGCAAAATACATTTGTTATACGAGAAAACTTATCTAAATTAATTTTTCTGTGAGAGTTACATTCAAAATGAGACAGAAGACACTGGTAGACCAGGTTGCTTATAACTTTGATAGGAGCGGGCTTGTTGTACGCACCAACAACCACCAAGCTGAACTGAAGATATACAAGACCCAAATCCTTCTATAGTTGAAGTTTAAATTACGAACTACCCCTATGCATGCACTCACCTTTTCTTATGAAACCTACACTAAGATTTCAGACAGACATTATATTGCATAAGTTGAATTACTTAGTACCATATGTTGTATTGCCTATTGAGGTAATACAACAAGAAGATATTTAGACATCCATCACATATTGATTGATGTTGTCATGGAGCTAGTGTGAGACGATCACGATCGACCATTTATGGTACATTAGCTTTTATAGATCTTATATAATATTTTGAAATTTGTTAACACTTTTGATTTATATATATAGTTGAATTAAATAGTAGACAGCAATGTATACAAATTAGAAAGAAAACGCATACAACCTATGCGATTAGACCTTCATTCTATGCAACTTAACCTAAATCACATGGGCTGTATGCGATCAACCTAGTGATATTCGGCTATGATTTTTACACGTCATATCACGTATGACATCCCATCGTAGTTTTGACTTTTGATAGGAGACTACACTATTTTCGTTAATATTTTGTATACATACCTTTGTTTTCTAAATTTAATAAAACATTATTATTATTAGTTCTTCACAAGCTACTTTGTTTTTTAATTTTTTTTATTTAAATTACATTATTGATGAATTTCCAGGTTGCTTTTAGGGCTGTATAAAGTCCTGTATATGTTGTTTTCAAATTACACTTTATGATTTAGAGTTTTTCTTTCTTGTAAAATTTTGCGTTGTAGATCAATGATTCACATCTCAAATAAGGAACTTTTTCCTTATTTACTAATCTTGTAATACTCTTTATAGGTGTCAATTACCGTTAAATTCATGTTGGCAAATAATAATATTTGGTGGATGGTCAAATCAATAATGGATCTTGATAATCTATCAGAGTATGTTTTTTGTTAACAAATTTCAACATACTTTTTACACGTGAAAGTTTTTAATACATTAATAATTTTTAAAAATGAAAGACTAATAAATTACCATAGTGAGAAAGATCAAGGACCACCCTAATAAAAAACTATTAATTAGTGAAATTGTGTTTGCAAATAAAGAATAATCCGAAATGAAACCAATTTAATTAGTAGGTGTGAAGAAATGGTTAGGTGGAACACGCAAAAGAAGCGAAAACAAGCACATAAAGATTGTTGTTCCGAGAGCGAGTAAACAAAATTGGAAGCCTTGCAATTATATAAACAATGCCCATGGGAACTAGCATGGCGTGAGTAATTAAAATGTGGGTTTGGAAAATGGGAATTAGTAGTTATGATTCAGAGGAAGGATGGTGCAGCGTCAAGACGCTGGTGGTGGGCGCCGCGGCGTGCTTGGTCTGGTCGTGGATCGCCGCCCACAGATGGAAGCAGAGGAAGAAGAAAGGCCCCAAAACGTGGCCGCTTGTGGGAGCTGCAATCGAGCAGCTGCTCAACTACCACAGAATGCACGACTGGCTTCTCGGTTACCTTAAGCTCTCCAAAACTGTTGTCGTCCCCATGCCTTTCACTACTTACACTTACATTGCCCACCCCGATAATGTTCACCACATTCTCAAGACCAACTTTGCTAATTATCCTAAGGTACAGCCTTAAATTATTCCAACATGTTTTAAATGTTTGAAACTTTGCACAAAACTGGAGGAGTGATAATCAATATTAAATACAGAGAAAAATACAATATAAGGGACTTGAACACAAGGCATCCGATTTTGATACTATTCTTAACCTTGAGGAGGAAATAATAATATAGGGTTCGAACACAATATCTACTTTAATACCATTTTTTATTTTGGGGAGGAAAGTTGGAACGTGGGATCTTCTATTCTGATACTATATGTTAAATCAACAATTAATAGTAAAAAATTAATTAAGCTCAATGAATAGGATAATTTTAGGTTAAAAAACATATTTGGTCCCTATATTTTTGCTAAAGTATCGATTTAGTCCCTGAACTTTAGTTTGTAACGATTTAATCCTTGCAATTTGTAACGATTTAGTCCCTAAAACAATTTAGTCTCTATAATTTAAAATTTGTAACAATTTAGTCCCTACCATGAAATTTTTTATCAAAATAAAATATCTATTTTTATCCTATAACGATTTAGTATTTGTAATTTATAAACACACATGGCCCTTCATCGGTTTATCGATCTAAATGTATAAGAAATTTAACAAAGTTTTTCATTAACTATAAGACTAAATTGTTACAAATTTAAAAGTATAGAAACTAAATCATTACAAACTAAGATTTAGAGACAAATCGTTACTTAATTGAAAGTACGAGAAGTATTTTTTAACCGATAAGTTTAATTGTTTTGTTGACACAATGTATTGAGTTATTTGAAGGGTGATGCATATCATTCGTACATGGAAGTGCTTCTTGGAGATGGGATATTCAACGTGGATGGAGAGCTATGGAGGAAGCAAAGGAAGACCGCCAGCTTTGAATTTGCTTCAAAGAATTTGAGGGATTTCAGTGCCTTGGTTTTCAGAGAGTACTCTCTCAAGCTCTCCTCTATTTTAACTTCGGCTTCTCTACACAACCAACAAGTTGACATGCAGGTCACAATATCAACGCAACCGTCCCTCTCTTTTGCCATCCAAATTCAAAATTTATAAACCTTTATTACAATGCAGGAATTGTTGATGAGAATGACTTTGGACTCCATATGCAAGGTTGGATTTGGCGTTGAAATTGGATCATTGGCTCCAAATTTGCCCGAAAATTGCTTCGCACAAGCCTTTGATACAGCAAACATCATCGTCACTCTTCGGTTCATCGATCCTTTGTGGAAAATTAAAAGATTTCTCAATTTGGGATCCGAAGCTCTCCTCGATAAGTCCATCAAAATCATCGATGATTTCACCTACTCTGTTATTGCCACTAGGAAGAAGGAGATCGAAGAAGCTCGAACCACGGGCAACGATGGCAAAAAGGTAATCTACACACATTTTTCCCTACAGCAAAAATTAAATAATATTTTGGTAACCATGTTTTCAAAACATCTATTTTGATCTCTATAATGTTAATATTTTAGCTACTCTACTTTTCAAATGATGCTTTTAAGAAATGATAATTTTGGTCCCTATTTACAAAATTTTAATACAAATTTTATACAGTAGAAATCCTTTAATGCAATGAGTGAAATGTCAAAGTAAAAATTGTGATTTGAAAAAAATAAAAACGAAATGGAAGAGACTAAAATGATCCTTTTAAATATAAATGAACATTTCAAAAGAAACAAAATACACCACTAAAATAAACTAAAGAAACAAGTATCTAAACAGTATTTAAACCTATTACAATTCACTAATATTTTGTGATGATGTGACAGATAAAACACGACATATTGTCAAGATTTATAGAGTTAGGCGATGATCCGAACAACAATTTCACAAACAAGAGCCTAAGAGACGTCGTTCTAAACTTTGTGATCGCTGGACGTGACACAACCGCTGCCACTCTTTCGTGGGCCATTTATATGGTAATGACTCACTCCCATGTGGCTGACAAACTTTACTCCGAGCTCACTAGTTTTGAAGAAGCAAGAGCCAAAGAAGAAGGAATTTCATTGCTCAATCAGCATCACTCAACGGATCTTGAATCCTTTGAAAGAAGAGTGAAGCAATTTGCAGAGCTTCTCAATTACGACTCACTCGCTAGATTGCATTATTTGCATGCAATGATTACCGAGACACTTCGGCTATACCCTGCAGTCCCTCAGGTATAAACATATAGAAAATACTTAGATGCTGATTGGTGAACACATCGGTTGAAACTTTCACAAATAAGAATGGAAAAAGAACATACTGTCAATTTCTTTTGGTACGGGCATGTAGGACCCGAAGGGCATTTTGGAGGATGATGTGTTGCCAGATGGGACAAAGGTAAGAGCAGGAGGAATGGTGACATATGTTCCCTACTCGATGGGAAGAATGGAGTACAATTGGGGTTGTGATGCAGCTTCTTTCAACCCTGAAAGATGGCTCAAACAAGGCATTTTCCACAATGAATCCCCATTCAAGTTCACTGCTTTTCAGGTCAACTTTCCTCCCCGTTTGATAATTATATTATTATTTATTTTTAAAAATTAAGCTTACAAACACTGCTCACTCATGTGTACTTCTTTATTTTTGTTATCTACTCGTTGAATATATTTTCACAATCAAAATAAAAAGACTAGACATATTCAAGAAATCTTGAGGGAACCGCATGCACAATTTTCAAAAACAGAAATCCAAAAATGATAGCAATATATTGCAGGCTGGACCAAGAATCTGCATGGGGAAAGACTCGGCATATCTGCAGATGAAGATGGCACTTGCGATTTTGTGCAGATTCTACAAATTTAAATTGGTGAGTGGTCATCAAGTGAAGTACAGGATGATGACAATTCTGTCCATGGCCAATGGCTTGAAAGTTACCGTTGACAGACGCCAGTAAAATCACCCATTTACTACATTAATGTTTCTTTTCCCTTTTTTATTGATCAATGTTATACAATGAACTCAAAAAGTTAATAATCTCACTGCAATTTCCACCATTTTCATCAACTACTTTATTATTCTGCTTCTTTTTTAGTGCTCGGTTTTGAATTGGCTTGCCTCTTGGTGTTTGGTTGGTAAAACTCTGCTTGACTTTATGTTCTTGTCTCTATAGGCGCATTTTGTTTGTAAGCATTTTAATCTACTCGATTTTGTGGCTATGTTCGAGTATTTTCTTAAATGGGTTTGGAAATTTCTGTGACATAATTTTGAGTGTCTTGTTATTTGAAAGTTGTATGATTTATTAGTTAATTCATAGGAAAATTTTAGATTTAATTTTGAACACTTGTTCAAGTTAAAAGTTTGAACTAATCAGATTGAGAGTTTTGAAAGTGACTCACCCACCAAAGTTCAAGATAAAAATTAAAATTTACCTTAATTTTAGTACGTTAATTCCTTAAGTTTGATTGTAAACAAGAGAAAAAAATAGTGGTGTGATCATCTTTATTTTTGGAGATCTTTTAAAAGAAATGTTACAACATTGTTTTTTGTTTTTATTTTTTTTTTAAAAACAATTCACTTATACAATGTGTTTGAGAGTAATGATATAATCAATGATTTTGGAAAAAAAAAAGTATAATTGATTTTCCGAAATCACAATCCAAGTGATACTAAATCAATTTAAAGTGATTTTAAATTTTTCTAAATTCAATTTTTTAATTTACCAAACATAATAGGAGAGTGATTTTGATAATGACAAAAGTGATTTTAGTCGTGTCAAAATCACTGTCAGACATATCTTAAGTCCATGTTTGACTAAAATTCTTACTTTCATCGTTTAATTTTGCAACTTGACACTAGAATCCCCGAGGCTTCGAATAGTCAGATTTTCTCTACCATTATTAGCTTTCCATTACTATAGCTATTAAAAATTGACTAACTGTTTTACCTTTGGCTTTTTTATTACTATTGTTTTTCAAACAATATAGCATTATTTTTTTTATTACTATTTTTCTCATAAATTAAACTTGGCTCCCCATTCAGAACAACCTTGTCCTCACCACTATTAAATAGTTATTAAATATTTAATTACAACAAATGAGGGTGGAGACTGTGTTCATGTTGGCCACGTCGTTAAAGAAGAGTTGTCAAAACATGTCATTTTATAGGAAAAATAAGAAATGATTGTAAACATGTTCTGGTTCTGTTTATTAACAGTTTATTAGCTTAGAGGCCCTAAAGAACAAAATAATAATACTTTTAATCAACTTTGATCTACCTAATACTGTGGAGCTTTGGTGTCTTACCAAGCAAAGGGCTTATGAGATTATCTATACCACTTAGAAGCCAGCAAAATGAGCATGGTTTTTTTACCTAGCGTACAACAAGTAAATCAACATATGCGACTTCGAGCTGAGCTTAGTGAATAAAGTATTTATTATCAATTCGACTCCTCATTTCTGCAATTGTTTGGTAACTAATTTTACGAAACGTGATATAAAGAATAAATTCACAGTAAGTGGCCTTTTTTTTTTGGCATCAAATTCCAGCAAAGATAATCGAATAGGACAGTAAGAAATCAACTGACTATTCCTGATTGAAACCTGGTGAGCTAATTACACTATGGACCTTCCCTAAAGAGAAAAATAAAAGAAAGCAAACAGAAAAAAAAAAAAAAAAGGGGTGAGCACATGCATAAGAAGAGTAAGTAGAACATTGGCATTCTAAAGGTGAGTTCAATTTGAAGCTCTGTAATTCTCTCTCTAATCCTCAGCTACATTCTTAATTGCCTAATTTATGAACCTAAATGTTAGGTTGCCCTCACCAATCAATCCCCACTCAAAACCAATTGGAAGATGAAGCGGGAGAGTGTAAAGTTCCAGAGAAGAGGAAGAGGATCACCGGAAGTGTTTTTCCTTTGGCTTCTTTTCCCTGGTTGATTCAATTCGATTCGAGTGCGGGCAACTTGTTAATCTGTACTCTTTACGTTATGCCGCTCGCATACTTTGGTTCCGAATTCCGCCCACCACTTCTCTGCTTGTGCTTCTGTGAAATGTCTCCGGCTGGAACACAAATTTTTAACTCAAAATTTGAGAAAATATACTTTTGAAATCAGAGACACTGTTGACTTTCTACAAAATTGAAACCAAAAAAAAGGAAAAACTCTCCTAATCATAGCCCAGACAGGTCAGTGAACAAGTTCAATAAGAAACTAAAGATTTTAACTTGTTAGTAATATATTGGAAAGATCAAACGTCACCTAAAGCTACTAGCACAAGCTATTGAATCTTGATTCAACCACTACTAATAAATCCAATAATCTAAAATAACAGGTTAAAAGAAACAAAATTATTTCAATAGATTCTCAGCTCCCAACATATATATTGGTAATATGGATACGGAAAATATAACATTGATACCATGATATATTACGACTGGACTAAAAAACTTAAAGTTCATAGGTTTGAGTAAATTTAATTTCAACCTTTTAATATATTCCCAATACTCTATAGAAGAAAATAAGATTTTAACTTTGAACCACCTACTAGATATTCTATTATAAATTAAACCCAAAAGTTTAAACTATTTGGTTAAAATGAATTTAATATTTTCATTATATTATTGACAAAAATATCTTTGAAGCAATTAGAACATAGATTTTTGAGAAATATAGCAGAAATGTTAAATGTTAACGAGAAACCAATGAGTGAGTATAACTTCAACCTGCACAATAATACCAGCCTTCACAAATCATCCAAAACAATTTTAGAAAACAAAAATATAAAATTACTTCTAAAACAGTTTTTAGACAAACCTTGACAAAAGGTTTTTATAAGAGAACACAAGCACACATTGGGCGATAAGGTATTTGCTTGTGTATGAAGTCAAGGGGACTAAAATTAGATCAGGTAAGTGATTGCAACAATCAGTCATGAGAAGACGTGGTTCATGACAAAGGCATTACAAAGAGATTAAATTAGATGATGAAGCAAGAAAACTTTTCATGCCACATAAGAGCTCAATAAATGGTCACAAATAGTGTGCTAGATTATAGTACCTGAAACGAACTCGTTTCAGCTCATTGCCTCCTCCTGGCAAAGCAGCCAGAGTTATGTACACGCCCGGTTCGTCTTGTACAACCCATTCTGCCTTCTCATTTTGTCCTTTGGTTCCGGTTGATATGGTTTGACTTTTTGAAATGCCATTAGACTCCAAACGAGAGTTTATGCTCATGGAAAGGCTCTCAGCGGAAAGCTGGTTGGAATTACTAACATTCTGGCCGGAAACAGTGCCAGAGTGGCTAATAGCACTATATCCTTCTGGCATCTTCTCAGCCATATCTTTCAACTGCAAAACCATTAAACATTTTAGTATCAACAAATTGAAAATACCAAGTAGGTGCATTACTTCCATATTTACAAAAAATAGAGAACTCAAAGGAAAGAAAAAAAGGACATCTCTTCCAAATGCATGAAAAAATAACTGAATTAATAAGGAATGAAAATTTATTTAGCATGCTACACTTTTTTTTTTTTTTTGAAATCCGTTTGTCCGGGCCAGCTTGTGCGCACCTCGACTAATCACGGGCCAACCGCCTGACCCTATTACATTTGGTTGACAAAGTAACTAGTAGGATATTAAATAGCATCCTACTCTACTTATTAGTATGTTTGAAATCAACTTCTTCAAGTTTGCCACTTATATGGTTACTTTACATTTTACCAGTAGGTTAGTGGTAAAACTAAACTTGGAACTTGTTGATATTAACTTCTCCAACTGACTACCCATACTAGTGAATTGTTTAGTAGAAATTAGAACCTGTTCAAATTCTTTAGAGAGATGGTCTATTGAAGACCTATCTTCTCAACCTATTTGTTTCTCCTTGTATAGGTAAGGAGTATTTTACAAGCATGTTGAGAGACATTTGGAGTTGATATTTGAGGAGCAATTTCTTCTTGAGCTTAGAGGAATATAGATAGACGTATATTGATTGGAGAGGCGGGCATTAGGTGAAATCATGACATGAGGATGAAGTGAGATTTAGGACTTAGGTTTGGTTTCAAGTAAGAGTCCAAAGCTGATTGTCACTCACTCACTCCCCCAGATGATGAGCTTTGGAGTAGAATCGAAGATGTTTGAAGAAGGTGACATCCATTGTGACATATGCCTGTTCTGTAGTAGGAGAGTAGCATTTGTAGCCCCACAAATTGGGTGAGTGTCCCAAAAATATGCATTTATGTTAAATTTAAGAGAATCAAAATATTCTAATGTATTTGAATAGTGCAACTTAGGTCTTCTTACAGGTCTTCTTATGTAGCAGAAAGACCTGCTATAAAAAAAAATATTAAACCTACTACATAAAGGAATAGGAGACCTACTATAATAAGGAAAGAAATAAAAACCATAAAGATTTAAAAAGACAACTAATAAATGTTTATATATTCCAACAATTTATGTGCTCCAGGATCCAATTTTCTATAGTGTTGGAAAATGGATATGAACAAAGGCAGTGCACCCAAAAACCTTTGGGACTAAATCAAGGGACTGAACTCGGAGATGAGGAAATTATTGAAGAAAGACCTGACGAATGGGTGGAGAAGCCAAACCAGCTGGGGGGAGTGTTGGAGTTCTCTGTGAGGTAACTCCTTACAACTTTCTGGTATTCAAAAGCAAAGAGTAGCCMGTAGGCAATACAAATGAAAATAGCCTGAAGGCGTTATAGTCACCCCACCTATTCGAGAGGGTGGATAATCCCTCCACAGACAATTGCTCTATTCTCAGGCACAAAATAAGATGATCCCTACCTACTGACCTGGCAGACCTAATATCCTCTCTGCCAACATTCTCCCTCACTCCCATAATCTTTTATCTCTCCTAACCGTTATCCCCTACTCTCATAGACATTCCCCATTTTTCCTTTTCTAGAATATGTATTCAGAATAGGAGGTCTTACATCTCATTTAAGTAAATATTAGCCATTTCATATTAGCTGCAATAATTTCATTGTTTTTTGTTGAYTTTCCTTTCTTGTAATTGTTCTAGGATTGGAACTAAAAAATTGAAAAGAAATTGTATTGAGTAGACAAAAATACAGTAAAATTTCCCAAGTAAACTCGAACCCTCTACTTAAAACTAACTATAACCCTCTCATGAGTAAACTCAAGCCTAAACAACTAACAATTGCTCCCCTCATCTCCTCTCACAAACTCTATTGACAACAGACTCCTGGTAACAAACTCTCTAGCAAATGACCAAGTCCTTAGTATCCTAATATTTCCAGCCTCTACCCTAATGATATTCCTAACGTATTGGTATTTCTCCAACATGAGAAGACCATATTGTATTATTTTATTARTGAAGAACTATAATTTTCGTCTACTTAAAATTAACKGCTTGAAATAGGTTTTACTAATCMATTTCTTCTCCATATCAAATTAAGAAGTTTTATTTATTTATCTATCCTTTATTGTAACATCTAACATTGTAACCAGCGAACAGATAAAAACCAAGAAATATGGTGTTTTACAATACTGCAAACATTGCTGCTTAAATAAACATGAAACCAAAACCATACAAGAAACAACCATATTTTGAATTTGATAAGAGTGAAATGCAGTGGAAATTTTCATATCCTGCAACTTTATTGTCAAATTATTGTTTCCTTTTTAGTTTCAAAATTTTAAAAATAAAAAATGTACTCTCTTTCAAACAAACACATGAAATCAATTCAATACTTTAACCACCTACGCACACACATAGGGGCAGTATTGTGCAATAGCAAGAATGCAAATCTTCCTTTTAAYGATAAACACAGAAATACGTAAGGTATCTCCTTACTGATATTCAAAATAAGAACAAGAACAAGAACAAGTGCCCTAAGGCTTACAAGGGGCCCAACCGTTAGAGAGGKTTGGRCACTCTCTTACCAAGTCAATCCTTCCAAAAGACAAAAACTACCTAWGATAGACCTCCTAGCATAAGTACTTCCCCATACAAAAGACTTGCCCWACAAAMAACTAAGGGGAATTTACCCCTTYGCCCTTCCTAACATAATTATTCACTATTGGGGGCCTCACATCACTCCCAGGGTAGAAAGACACCTTGTCCTCAAGGTGAAAAGTGGGAATTGCTGGCGGACGGTTGATACGGTCTCCCACGTGGCTTCATGTTCCGGTAAGTCCTTCCACTGCACAAGAAGCTCCCGTTTGCCGTTSTCGRTGTTCCGGCATATGCSCATAATATCCAAGGGCTCAGCCACCCATTCATAGTTSTCARAGAAGGTAGGCRGATGGGKTTGGATGCTGTGCTGTTCGCCYGCTGCACGTTTGWGTTGGGAAACGTGGAAGATAGGATGGACAGTGGCGTCAGCCAATAGTTYCAATTTGTAAGCTACKGAGTCAATACGGTCCAGCACCGTCTAAGGGCCARAATATTTTGGAGTTAGCTTCTCACAGTGCCTTTTGGCGAGGGACAACTGGCAGTAGGGGCGAAGCTTGAGGTAAACCGAATCGCCCACAGCAAACTCCACATGGCAACAGTGTCGGTCGGCAAACTTCTTCATTCTGTTTTGGGCCTCGACCAAATGGTTGTTTAGGCATTGAAGGGCCTGATCTCGCTCAGCTAACTGTTGGTCCAAGGTAGCGTTGGCCGTTTGTTGATCACCATAGAATATCAGCAGGGGAGGGGGGCGGCCATAGACAATGCGGAAAGGGGTAGTGTTGATTGAGACATGATACGTGGTGTTGTACCAATATTCTCCATTGTCGCGGTCTCTCCGAGCAAAAACAGYAGAGGTAAGTCTCAACACATTTGTTGACGATCTCGATCTGGCCGTCCGTTTGCGGGTGGTAGGTTGTGCTCCGGTGGAGTTTAGTGTCTTGAAGGCRAAACAATTYGGTCCAGAAGTGGCTCAAGAAGATCTTGTCGCGGTCGGAGACGATCKAGCGGGGAAACCYATGAAGTCRGRCTACTTCTTTCACAAACGATGCWGCAATGRTCTTAGCCGAAAAGGGATGGGCAATAGGTATGAAGTGCGCATAYTTACTCAAACGGTCCACCACCACAAAGATAACGTCWTAGGATGTCGATTTKGGTAGTCCTTCGATAAAGTCCATGGAGATATCCTCCCAAGTGCGGTCCAAGTGTGGAAGGGGTTGCAGTAGACCGACCGGTGAGGTAGTGAGTGATTTGTTCCGCTGGCACACATCACACTGTTCATTTCACATCCTGTTTCATTCCTTGCTAATACAAATCACCGGTCAGCCACTTATAGGTCCTCAAAAAACCGAGTGTCCCCTGAATACAGAGTCATGATAGGTGTGGAGGGCGGCCTTGATGAGGGATGAATCACATGTGAGGACCAAACGACTCTTGTAAAATAGTTTCCCTTGTTGCAATGAGAATCGGGGCACGCGGTCCTGATTGGCCTGCAGCTCAGCGATAATCTTTCTCCACTTCCTTCCAGATTACATCAGCTTCTAAAATGGCCGAGACCGCCAAAGTGGCCAAGTGAGCCACTGGTGGCATATCAGACAGGGCTTCAGCTGGGGACATAAGGTGCTCCGTGGGTGGCATACGTGTTAAAGCATCGACCGCCTTGTTTTCCAGCCTAGGGCGATACTGAATCTCGAAGTTGTACCCCAGTAATTTCGAAACCCACCGCTGATAGTTCGGGGAAGATAGTTTTTGCTCCAGGAGAAACTTCAAGGCTTGCTGGTCAGTGCATACCAACAATTTCTGGCCCAACAAATACGGCCGCCAACGTTGCATGGCAAGGACAATGGCCATCAACTCCCGCTCATATACTAACTTCTGTTGATTGGCAGTTGACAAGGTCTGACTGAAGAAGGCAATTGGCCACTATTCTTGAGATAATACAGCCCCTAGACCCGTACCTGAGGCGTCGGTCTCCACGACAAACGGCTGACTGAAATCGGGTAAGGCCAATATCGGTAGCATGATCGTCGCTCGTTTAAGACGTTCAAAGGCTTCCGTCGTAGTGTCGGACCACACAAATGCATCCTTCTTCAAGAGTTGGGTAAGGGGAGCGGCTATGGCACCGTAATTCTCCATAAATCTACGATAATAACTGGTTAAGCCCAGGAATCCTCTGAGTTTTCTCAGATTCGACGGTATCGGCCATTGGATCATGGCCCGAACTTTCTCGGGATCAGCCTCAACACCCCTAGTCGAGACTCAATGCCCCAAGTATTCGATCCTTTCCTGGGCGAACTGGCACTTCTTCATGTTGGCATACAAGGAGTGTTCCTAAAGTATATTTAGCACTACCGTTAGGTGGGTAGCGTGAGAATCCACATCTGGGCTATAGATCAAAATATCATCAAAAAATACCAGCACAAACCTCCTCAAGAAGGGGCGAAAGATAAGGTTCATCAAAGCTTGAAATGTGGTCGGGGCGTTGGTGAGGCCAAAGGGCATTCCCAAGAATTCGTAGTAGCCGTCGTGCATCCGAAACGCTGTTTTCTCCACGTCCGGCTCTTGTACCCATGTTTGGGGGTATCCCAACCTGAGGTCAATTTTGGAGTAGATTGCCGCACCGTGAAGCTCATCCAGTAACTCCTCGACCACCGGAATCAGGAATTTGTCCGGAATCATTGCGTTATTCAATGCCTTGTAGTCCACGCAAAACCTCCAACTCCCATCTTTCTTCTTGACCAGTAGCATCGGGCTAAAGTAGGGACTCACACTGGGGCGGATGATTCCCGTCGTCAGCATCTCTCCGATTAAACGTTCTATCTTCGCCTTCTGCACGTACGGGTAGCGGTATGGCCGCACATTCACGGGTGGGTTCCCTTCAGTGAGCGTTATGCGATGATCAACTTCTCTCTTTGAGGGTAGACCCTCCGGAATTTGGAAGACGGCTTGATACTTAGTGAGCAATCTGTCAATGGAGCGTGGCAGTTCCATGGGGGGTGTCGAATTCGGAGCCTCTATTTGGAACACAGTGATCGCGCGAAACTCCAACAGAAAACCCTGATCTTGGGCATCCCATGAACGTGTCAAGCGCTTTAGTGTCACCTCTGCTTTTGTCAGGGACGGATCCCCCTTGAGTATCACTCGAGTTCCACTTGCTTTGAACGTCATTGTCAGGGCGCCCCAATCAACCTCCATCGTTCCCAGGGTACACAGCCACTGCATTCCTAGCACCACGTGGATCCCACCTAATTCCAGAGGAAGAAAATTTTCCACAATGGTTAGTTTAGGAAGTTTCAAAACTACTCCCTTGCAAATACCTTTTCCTTTTACACTACTCCCATTCCCATAATGACCTAGTAGTTGGACGTCTCCACCGTGGGCAGACGTAATGCTTCAACAAGCTTCTAAGAATTAAAATTGTGGGTTGCTCCACAATCAATTAAGACCACCACTTCCGATTGGCCGATCTCACCTCGCAACTTCATGGTACCAAGTGTAGAGAACCATACCACTGTGTTGAGGGACAGCTCGACCACCTCGCTTACTTCTTCGACCATTTCTTGATCCTCAATCGTGCCTGCATTCCCATCCGACTGTCCAAGATCGTTGTCGTGTGCCAAGAGGACTCACATGGTTCTTAGCGTTCGTCGCAGTGAAAACAGAGGCCCTTCGCTTTGCAAGCGTTATACTCTGTCTTTGATAAACACTTAAACCCCTTGCGATTAGGATTACTCATAGCGGGCAACGTGGGTGTACGGTTGGCAAGTGTAACGGTACGAGTTACTTGGCCTTGTGTGGCCTTTGGTGCGGGTTGGGTGGCCGATGGGTCGGCCCAATCGTGGGGCTTTTAGCGCCTTCAGTAAAGGCCAATGTCGCTGCGCTTCAGTCCTCGATTAACTGGGCTGCCCGCATGACCTTTCGTAACCAGTGATTTCCCTGCTCAATATCTCAGCCTTGATCAGAAGATGCAACCCATTAAGGAAAGTTTCCTCCAACACCTCCTTTGACGGTCCTCGTACGGGTGCAGAGTATTCCTCAAACATTCAACAAAAGTCTGCCACTGTTCCCGTGTGTTGTATGGCTAGAAACCGAGCGCAAAAGGCTACCCTCCTGTGATGGCCGAAATCGTATGAACAGCCGGACCTTTAGGTCGGCCCATCTGGCGAATTCTTGATTATCCCTTATCTTCCCATTGTCATTCTAGGGGTTTCCGAACCGGAAAACATTCCTCCTTTTGACTTTGTTAGTTCCGTGACCAGCATTGCCATGGCTTTCCATTGTTCCTCCATCCGGTTAGACAACCTATCTATCTCCTCCATCCGATGGGATAACTTATCCAGACTCTCCTTGATGTTCAGCATCTCTTTTTCATTATTGTCACAACATTCTTCCAGCTGCTTCTGTGCCATTCCTCTCGTTCTCCCAGGATTGAAGGCTCTAATACCAATTTGTAAGGTATCTCCTTACTTATTGATATTCAAAATAAGAACAAGAACAAGTGCCCTAAGGCTTACAAGGGGCCCAACCGTTTTTCTTTTTTTAACAAAAAATGAACTTTTCACTGATGAAATGAAAAGGAACAAAATTGTTCAATGATACAAACTCGCGAAGGAGTGAAAGGAAAACATACAAATTTAAAAGATACAAGGGGCCCAACCGTTAGAGTGGGTTGGGAGCTCTCTTACCAAGTCAATCCTTCCAAAAGGCGAAAACTACCTTTTCTAAGATAGACATCCTAAGCATAAGTACTTCCCCATGCAAAAGACTTGCCCAACAAACAACTAAGGGGTATTTACCCCTTTGCCCTTCCTAACATAACTATTCACTATTGGGGGCTCACAAAATATGCTTAAATTGATTTTTTCTCTAAGGACACCTCTTACTCTTATACTTTTTATTATAATTATTTGATCGAGAGTAATTGGTTTCTGATTTAATTTAAAAAGAAAATTAAATAAAAAGAAGTAAAAGAAAGAAACCATTTATGACATGTAAAGGTTAGAAAGGAACATAATTTATATAATGTTGGGGATATGAGATGTAGTTCATGTTAGTTGCTTGTCAAGAGAGAGGGCATAAGCTGTAGAGTTTTTTTTTCTTTTTTTGAAAACCAAGCTGTAGAGTTTGTTAATGATTAAAATGATACTATCTAACAACATGAAGCTCGGCTGAAAAATAGCAGCTTTTCTTACTATTTCTGACCATATATATCTGACATTTGACGTTATAAGTAAAATAGTGGGTGTAGATAATACGTATTAAACAACTGTTACAAAATATAATGGAGAAATTGCTAACAAAATCCAACCCATAATTCAAAAAGACTCTAACCTGAGCCGCTAAGGATTTAATAACTTCCTTGGCTGATTTGCATCTTTCAGCTTCATCTGCAGCTATTGCTGTAATTTCCATCAGTTTCTTTGAGGTTTTCTCGAGTTCAGCTTCAAGATTTTTGGACTTGCAAGTCAACTCTTGCACCTGCCAATCAGTTATTAATCAATACTCAATAGTTCACCCAAAATAGAGTTTCAGAAAGTAAAACTAAAAGCAGCTAACGTTTGATTCGCGTGGCCCATGTTTTCAATATTTCAAATGATTTTGTCATGAAGAAATTTATCAAAGTGCTTACCTAATAAATAGGATGCCTACCAGTGGGAAGAAGTCATTCTCACAGCTGCCTACCTAGTAAGGTTTTAAATTTCAAAACTCCCATTGAGTGCTTTAAATATGTTTTTCCAACATCCCGTAAATATTTTGACTTATCTCTCAAAGTGTTTGGATGTACCACATATGTTCACATAACTAGTCAATCTCAGTCAAAACTTGATTTTAGAGCTGTTAAACGTATATTCTTGAGTTATTTTTCAAGTGGGTTATAAATGTTTTAATCCTCAAATCAACAAATTTTTTGTTAGTATGGATGTGTCTTTTTTAGTAAAACAATCATATTTTACCCAAAATTATCTTCAGGGGGAGAGATCAAATTTGAGAGATAATTTTTGGGATATTTCGATTCCTCTTCCTAGTCCTATTTCTCCTGATTTTGCTGGACTTTTGATACCTAGTATAGAACTACGAGATGATTCTACTAATCAAGTTTATGAGTTTAAGTTTTATTCTAAAAGAAAATTCAATCAAATAAACAAAGACCAGATAGTTAATCCTTCTCAGAGTCAATCTGAAGTTCTGAAAAATGAAACAAAAAATACTAATAATCCCCCCCAGCGGATAGTCGATTCTTCACATAACCAACCTGAGACTGAAAACACCGATATCTTCTATTCCTACTTCAACTATTTCACCTATTGTCTCTGACCTTGATGTTCCAGTAACAATTAGAAAACATGTTCGAAGTTGTACTAAATATCCTATTGCAAACTATATCTTATACCACAAATTGACAAATAATCATAGAGTTCACATCTAGGATAGCTGATTTGTTTGTTCAAAGGAATATACATGACGCTCTAGAAGATCCAAATTGGAGACTAGCAGTTATGGAAGAGATAATGCTCTCAAGCAGAATAATACTTGGGAGATAGTAGAGTTGCCAAAAGGTAAGAAATCAGTAATCAGTGGGATGTAAATGGCTATTTACCGTAAAATATACTGTAGATGGTAGTATTGAGAGAATAGATACAAGGTCAGATTGGTAGCTAAAGGCTTCACTTAAACCAATAAGATTGATTATTGAGAAACATCGACTCTCGTTGCTAAAATTAACTCTATTAGAGCTCTTTTGTCTCTTGCAGTTAATTCAAATTGGCCTCTCCATCAGCTTGACGTGAAAAATATCTTTCTTAATGGCGATCTCGAAAAAGAGGTTTTTATGAACTTACTACCAAGTTTTGAAAAGGAAATCAGTGTAATAAATTCTGCAAATTAAAAAAATCTCTTTATGGCCTCAAACAATCTCCGAGAGCTTGGTGTGAGCGGTTTGGAAAAGTCGTATCTAGCTATGAATTTCTTTGAAGCCAAGTTGACCACATATATATACATATATACGTACGTACGTACGTACATATATATATAGTGTATATATATAATGGTCATAAAAACCTATATTGTATAATAGGACCTATACTATATAAGTATATATAGTATATATAGTATCTATATAGTATAAATGAATTTATTTGAATGGAATAAATTATTAGTATTCCAATAATAATAAAATAAGAAGCACATAGCCTTCTTATATAGAAGAGAGGCTCAATGCATGAAAGGGAATAAAGAAATTAATATTGACAGCTAATTTACAACTAATATTTACAAATAATGAACCAACACTCCCTCTCAAGCTGGTTTAAAGATATCTTCCATTGCCAGCTTGTCAATCATTTTGTCAAATTGCACCTTCGCTAGTCCTGTTGTCAATACATCAGTAGTCTACTCTATTGTTGGGAAATAAAGGATACATATCACACCAGTGTCAACTTTTTCTTTTATGAAATGTTTGTCAATTTCAATATGCTTAGTCCTATCATGTTGAACTTGTAGAGACTAAGGTTGGAGAGAATTCAATGTAATGTGTTCTCATTATTAAAGTCTATATATATAGACAAATATACAAGGTTGACATAATCCTATAAGGAGAAGGTAAAGGACAAATTAATATTAATACAAGAATATAAAATATACTAAAATATCTATACTCTAACACTCCCCCTCAAGTTGGTGCATATATATTAATCATGCCCAACTTGTTAGACAAATAATCTATTCGTGCTCGATTCAACTTATGTTCTGTGATTTTTGATATCATTGGGATCACCTCAGAAGTTACGATTGATTTCTTCTCAACCATAACAAACAAACGAACTTATTTGAACAAAACGACAGAACCAGACCAAACCACCCGAACCAAACAAAACAGATGAATCAAATTGCTGGAACCAAATCGGATTAGGTGTTTTCTGAATCCA